TTTCGGACAGGGCCGCCTCCTCGAAATATATCACATATATCCGGCATTGTGATTTTTAATTGATAACAGGAAGATAGTGTCTATTCTAAAGCATGAATAGTAAAGCCATTTTTATGGATTTTGGTATTTCGAGTTTATAAACAACTTGGCTATATTACAATATTGGCAATAAGACAATATTATAACTTGGTGGGGCATGGGTGGTCCAGTCGTCTCAGCTGTGCAAAATTGCGTCACTTTTAGCACGCCAAAAACCTATGATTGTGGGTTCGAATCCCGGTTCGCCATGATTATGTTTGTAGGTTTGTCAGCAAAGCGGTGATAAACCCACTCACTCTTTGAATTTGCTACGTAATCGTGAGTGTTAATGAGGTAATATTTGTTGTTATATTTGATTTTCACAACTCTCCAGTTTACCGATGCCATAAGCGGTATCATCTATCACGTATCTAGTTTCGAAAGTGTAGATTAGAAAGCAGATTCCGACCAGTCAGTGAATTTTAGTTCATTTGAAAAGTCTAGACCTTATATCGTGGCTTGCTTGTCCGTCGTTTGTCCATAAATATTTGCTCTTATACAACGTGACTCAACACAAAAATTCCTGTTTTCAATATTTTACATTTTAACCTTGATTTGGCACCATGATCCGACGAGTTGTATACCGGTAAGACTTCCCTTCCTGCACTGTGATCATGGGTCGCCTTCACCTAACATATCACCCAAGATAAGGAGGAATTACAGTATTCATATCTCACATAATTCTTACAGATGCTATGCAGGCCTTGCAAAAGCTATACCATTTGAGACGAGTTCTAAATTTTTAGTACAGGGGACACATTTTGAGTTCAAGTGGCCTGTTCCACTGAACTGCTGTTGTGTATGAGAATGTTTCCATAGTGTTTGTACCATTGGGACCATTAATAAATTCTGATTTTGAGATGTCAGTAATCTGGTTGCTTTATACAACGTCAGCAGGTCGCGAAACATTGGCGCTCCGCCAACTACGTACTGATAGGATAAGCTGATGGTGTATTTGCTTCTTTCTTGTATCCGTACCCGTGAAGATCCGGGGTAGAATAGGTCTTCAGCAACCCATGCTTGGCGTAGCAGGCGACTATGCTTGTCGCAAGAGGCGACTAACAGGATAGGGTGGTCAGGCTCGCTGACTTGGTTGATGCATGTCATCGTATCCCAATTGCGTGGATCGATGCTCATGGTGTTAATCACTGGATTGTCTGGTCCAGACTCGATTATCTACAGACCACCGTCAGATTACTATAATATTGCTGAGTGTTTAACAACAAACAAATAAACAAACATCTACAACAAAAAACAAACATCTGTGTGTGGACAAATATACATTGTCCGTGTGTGGACAAGTGTATATCATCTCTGTGTGTGGATAAATGTGCATTATCTGTGTGTGGACAAATATACAGTATTGCTGTGTGCGGCATTAAACAACAAACAAACAAACAAATTCTGAATCAGTAACCAGTGAAGATCCTTCGCAACTGGCGTAATATGGTCACATATTTGGACATGGTGACATAATGCTGGCTGCTGTGTAATGGGTACGCTGCAATTTGGCTATGTCTATTTTGTTGTTTGGGGGCATCTGTAAAAAGAACAAGGACAGAATAAGTGTGATAAAAACAATTGTTGTCAGGTATTTGCAGAAACGTACTTGAGAATGTTGTTGATATGCTCGCATTTTCTCCTCAGAAATATTGACATTTGACATATTGATCATCACAAATGATGACACCTCAATTTGTCCAAAACTTAATTCAGTATGACCAGCAAAGAAGCCACATTGAAAAATCTGTTTGAGTATGGCCATTACTTGGTAGGGGGTTAAAATGTTATTGTCTGAGACAGGATATGTTTCGGTCATTGTTTAAAGTAGTGCTGTGTCCTGTGAAAGGGGGCGCTGAACATCTCTTAATCGTAAAATGATAGCTACACTTCCAGGTGAGCTACGGAGCTGCAGCACTATTTCGGTGGTTGTTTATTGGATGTGTGCTTAAAGATATGGACTTTGCCAGTAAGCGCAATAATAAATAAAATATCAACCTCGTCAAAGTTAGATTCAAAGTCAAGATGAAATACCACAAATTAGAGCTGATCTCATATGAAATCTATATGTACGTCTTTTTAGGGTTGCGTTTCAGGTTCTTCACATATATAGGTTGTCACGATGATGTGTCACTGTAGTAATCAATAATAGTCCTCAGCTGGAACGAATCTTTACTTCTGCATTCTAATGGTAAGATATTAAAAGGAGCCCATTAGCCCATTGGCTAAAGTGATACCTCGTCGATTCCCAAAATGGGTACAGTGTGTGAAGCCTAATTTCTGGTGTTCACCCCCCTCACTATGCACGGATTATCGCTGCTGTGCAAAACCCTACTCAGTCACTCATGCATTAGACTGCAAAATGTAATGTTTGTTGGCCATCGGGCAATTCATATGGGACACGGCTCGAGCCGGTAGGCAAAGGACAAGGAAGGATAAGACAACGTTGCAGACAACGTTACAATCAGCGATGTTCAATTGGTGAACGACTAGTAGTCCAGTAGAAATGGTCAACAATTCGGGCATTTGGTACAGCAAGAGTGAGTGGGTGAGTTGGGTTTAACGCCGCTTTAATAGTATTCCAGTTATATTGCGGCGTGTCAGCATAATGTGGGAGGAAAGCCCTACTTCATACAGTAGGCGTTTACCACTCCAGTAAAACCCACGAGCACGGGTATGGTGCTGACAAACCTAGAAACATAATCGGGGCGAACCGGGAATCGGACCCACAATCATAGGTTTCTGGCGTGCCCAAGGGACGCGACTCTGCACAGCAAATCGCGGCGCATTAGACGACTGGGTAACCCATGCCCACTAGTAAAGCAAGAAGATTTTATTGTGAAATGACCTTGAAGCATCTCATCAAACACCACAAGAAAGCAGCCCAAATCAACCAATATGTTTAATTAGTCAGAATAGAATCTAGCAGTTTTATCGTATTATATTTATCTGAGACCGAGTTGTGAAACACTGGACGGGTTGATGACTGACATTGAAAATGATTAGTACCGATTTTGCTGATGTCATCACAATGCTTGGCTTCAGGACCTCGTACATTACTACCGGCGAGACGTTCTCGTCCAACTATGATAGAAACAAGTATTTTCGAAATGATATATTCGTAGTTATTTAGTTCGGTCCGGTACACCATTGTAATGTCACATGTAACTCTTAAACGAATAACGTTTTGTTGATCAAATAAATTAGTTGGCTTCGCTGTAAGTAAACCAAACGATAATGTGAATGAGTCACTCAGGATATCAAATAAAGCACGTATTCCACAGCATTATCCACACTGATAGCTTCAGTTGGATTTTGGCAGTCTGCAGAGCATTTTACACCGATTGCTGCAAGACATTCGTCTCCTGGCACAGCTGAGCGAAATGCATGATCCGACTTTGTTAGAGGAGTGCACTTCTGTCAGACGTTTTTTCGGGAACCACTGTGATCACGCGTTCAACAGAGTTGTTTATGCACTTGAAACCAAACTTGTGATTGTCCAATAATGTCTGAAGATTGCAGGTAGAAACCTCATTAGAACACGTAGGCTGTGACCCCCCCCCCCCCCCCCCCTTCACCTCCCCCCACACACTTGTTGGGCTTATTGATAGCAAGATTCACGTATATTATTGAGCTAACGTTGAAATATCTAATTTCATCGTCTTTAGCACCATGAAATAGTGGTGCAACACAATCCCTCAAACTGTTATAGTAGAAGTTGTACTTAAAGCACCATCAAGCACAAAAACTGCTGATCTATCTTCGGAAGATTTCAGTAGCATATTAAAATGCTTGACTCCATCCATTCTTAAGAAAGAGGAAGTCTGTCACATCCTGACACAGCATGTAGAAAAATATTACCATTGTCGCAGAAGACAACATGGCTGCTCCTATATCTATTAACAGCCTGGTTAAAATTGATGTTCAGTTAAAAGGAAGAGTTATTAACAATATTCAGTCACGGAATGTTTTTGTGGTCCAAACGGATGAGGGTATCCCTCACGTTCCAAGATACAGTGATATACCAGAAGCTGCCACATCAAACTGTGAGATAAATAGTGACTGTGTTAATTTCTTTATTATCCATTATCTTTATGAGGTTTGTCGAATGCATCGAATTGAAATCAAGTTCCCTGACCAAACGGCAACCCCGTTCAAAAAATAGATCGAAGCGAAGGTCGCGTATGGATATCCCGACCCCGTTTGATAGTAAAACGAATCGCACCTTCAAGCAGTGTGCGTATGGAAATACTACCCAATAAGTAGATGGCTCTCGGCAATAAATAAAATAATAACTGACACACGTGACACTTGAAATTCCTTTTACCAATATAAATTTATGAAGAACTGTGTTTAAATATATTTACATCATTTGATGTAAATAATTTTTAGGAGTTCACCTTTCAAAGCCAAAGATATAGGACAAAATGAGGGCAACTGAAGCCCTATGTGCAGCTGCATTGTGCAGCTCTATTGTGCTCTAATGTTGTCTGTGTCAATGCGAACTGTAGGGCGTTAAATGTATCAATGGTATGCCCGATACACATTCGAGTATCATGAGAAAACTAACAGCCGCAGATATATGACAAAGGCTAAATTGATATTTTTTTAGATCAATATCAGCAGGACAAATGACCGATATTATCATAAATATTTATACATGTGACCAGTGTTATTGGAAATGCGCGTGTAACAAACAGACACCAATGACCATAAGACATCGTTAAGCTCATGTCAACATTGTACTCTTTGCACGTCTAAAACTGCCGAACAATTTTCGCGTTCACGAAGAAAAGCGTATTTAGAAATGACTTTCAAGAAGACGTTATAAGAAACAACCGCCTAACGGCTGTAACATTATTTGGTAGATCTCCGTTAAAAGCAAGGGAAGAACAGCAAAATGAGGGCAATTGAAGCCCTGTGTGTAGCTCTCCTGTGCTCAAGTGTGCTCAGTGTCAATTTGAACTGTGGGAAGTGGAATGTAAAGATGATGCACGGGTTTGAAAACAAGCGAGTGACTGAACATGTGATGTGGGTAGAGGAGAACACAGAGAGCCTGCTTGAGTGTGCTGCCAGATGTGGCCAACACGACCTGGCTGTGACGTGCGGCTACAACCCAAACACGTTAGAATGTGTTGCCTACAGTGCAAGGTTTACAGATCCGTCAACCGTGGCCTATGTGGACAACAGTAAATACAGAATGTACTCTCTAAATCTAGGTAACCTTGACATTTTTTGTTAAACTGTATATGTATGTGGCATTATCTAACCTATATTTTGCTCAACTGTGAAAACTGAGGGATTTCCTTCTCGATTGTAGACCATAGAACCTCTTATTAGATTTCACAAAGTCATTCTTGGAAATGGATGAACAAGGAAATGATACATTGACCAATAGCATTGAATCAGATATATTTTGTATTCATTTGTACTGGGTGTGGGTGCCTTAGGCCCTGTAGTAACATTTAAGAGAACAAATCTCACAGCTTCCATGACAGTTTCGAAAAAAGCCTTCTTTCTTTGTCAATTGTTCACACCACACATACCAAAAAAAGTACTTTTTATATCTTGACAATATCCTTCAACGTCAATTAATATATATTACAGTGACAGTACCAGCTGTACGATCATTGTCTATTTGCAACACATCTAATCATTGCCCAACTTGCATAAATATTTCAAAATCAAATGTCTTTCTTTTTGTAATGTTCATACCACACGGACCAAAGAAAGTCCTTTTTTATATCTTGATAATGTCCTTTAACGTCATTTACTTCCTATTGCAGTGACTGTTACAGCTGAACCACCACTGGGTATTTGTGACACATCTGATGATTGTCCAGTGGTCGACACAGAGTGTATGGAAGGGGAATGTGTGTGTAATATAACACAGGTCTTTTCCTACGCTGTTGCAGGATGTGTCCAAGGTTTGTACTTACTTATTTCCGAACCTAATGTATGTATGTATGTATGTATGTATGTATGTATGTATGTATGTATGTATGTATGTATGTATGTATGTATGTATGTATGTACGTACGTACGTACGTACGTATGTATGTGTAAAAGTAGGACACTCGTTACACAGACGACATTGTGTAGGAGTAATGACGTTCCTATAACACATATGAAACATGATGTGTATATGTGCGATCGCTGAATTATCCACTAAAGAGACATATTGTGAGGTTTATTTCGTAACAATGTCAGGATCACGTTACAGGACATGGCGACAAAAATTACAATAAACCTATCTTCCAGGTGTCCATCAAGGAATGACCTTGGGGATGTACTTTCATTATTGTTTTTTATTTATAGGATGTTCCCAATACAGTAAGACGTTCACCAAGTTTGCAGGCCGTGTGATTTGGGAACATGACGATTTGTTGCTGGGAACACTTACAGAGGACGAATGCCAAGCCGCTTGCGTCATCGAGACAAGCATAGTGTGCAAAACAGCACAGTACAGTCCAGTAACATCTCTTTGCGTTCTGAGTTCTTCTGGCTGGCTGGATGTTGACGTTTCAGATAGGGCAACTCGCGAGAGTTATAACATCCATATCCGGCATTGTGACTTTTAGACAAATTAATTATAGGATGTTAGTGTCTATTGACAAACATGACTATAAAGACAAGAGTTCTTCCAGCTGGATGGATGTCGAGGTTTTACACAGGGGTAGTAGCCAGGATTATAACATCCATACCCGGCATTGTGACCTTTAGATTGGCGGCAAATTGATTACAGGATGTTTGTGTCTATTGAAAAACATGAAATTAAAGACCATCTTTATGTATTTCGCTAAAGCGTATATATGTAGAGCTTATAAACAATTTGGCCAAACACATGTTTAGAATTTGCTTCATTATTGTGAGTGTTGATGTGGTATAACTTGTTCCATATATAAAATATTTTCACAGGTCACTAGTTGACTGATTCCATAAGCGGTATAATCAATCACGTGTCTGGCTTAGGAAGTCAGTTAATTTTAGCTCACCTGAAAGCCAAGATCTTATGTCATGGCGTGTTTGTCTATCGTAAACATCTCTGAAACAGCTACACCAAAGAAGCTAAAGCTTCACATTCTTGTTCCCACCAATCCCAATTTGTCCACTAATGGCCACAAACCCAGCCAATTTTACCAAAAAGTAATTCGCACATGTAGTTAGAAGTTTGGATAAACACACACGTTCTTCGTTTTTGGTGGTATTGAAATTATGACTTTGACCTTTGCATTTCATCCTTTCTTCTTAGTTCTCATAAAATGCATTTCCTCGCATGGTCTGCTGAGAAACCAGCAGAGAAGTTGTAACCTTACATGATTGCTTCCACCAACGATGACATCCCAATTTGTTCAAGTGGTTCAAATCTCAGCCATATTGAAACATCTATGTATGTTAATTTGGATTGTTTTTCCGATTCTTTACATAGAGTATGTGGTCACTACGATTTGTTTCTGTATTAATCAATAAACAGTTTTCAGTTTGAATAAATCATATATTTCATTATGTTTGTTAATCAACTGACTCGCTGGCTGGTTGGATGGCTGCCCTACCAACCTAGAAATCTGGGTTGGAAATGATACATTAACCATCAAACACAACGCCCCTTTAGTCCATCCACGAGCAGCAGAGCACACATAACACGGAACATGGGTTGTTCTTTGGCATCTTTTATTGGAATGGTGAGACAATCCATTGATTGACAAAATGAGCTTTGAACCATGAAAATTGGGATATGATAACATGCATCAACCAAGTAACCCAGCCAGACCTGCTCATTCATTTCGTCACCCTACGGCGAATGCCCAAGTCTGTCTGATGATGTTGCTCAGAATTTCAGTTGCGCAACATGTTGGAGAGTAGATGCAACGCATAGCTTCTCTAATGCAGAAGAAGTGCAAAACATAGGACATCGTAATCATTTCACTGATGATGAACTGACAAACTCTCAAGCATAAAAAGCTAAGGTATTGTCTTGTTTCAAGTAAAAGCGATACAAAGTTATGCTAATAATTAGCTTCTGAACTGATTTTGCAGACCTATTAATGTAAGTCTCTCGCCTCTCGGTGCAGGTCACTATCCGACCTCTACATGAGCACGGTTTGCATGTAACTTGTTGGGTTGCGAAAAACGTATGCAAGATAATAACAACGGAAGGATTAGGCTGTGTGGTTAGTGTACCGAAGGTCCTGCCCTTTTTTTGTCGCACAATAATAATAATTTTTCGAAAATCCTACCATCTAGGCTGTATATACTCAGTGTGCACACACACACACCGCACATTGAAGAATGTGGACATAGAAGGGACATATTTAGGAAATGATTTTTATTTACGTTTATCTAATTTCAATGGGGGTATTTTTAAATACACAACACACAATGTATTGCAAAGATTATTATAATACTCAAATGGCATTTATCTGTCACTTTCTGACGTGATATGAATAACAGACTCAACTAGTATTGCATTTGTGAGTACACTAAAACGTTTCCAAGGAAGCGACTAAATGGATCACGTTCGTCGTCTGAAAGTGATTGACTGATTGCGTGTCATCATGCATCGAATGCGTGAGACGCTGTTCATATGCATGATACCAATGAAAGTTACAAAAATAGTCCGAGGTTGTTAATGAACCTGTGGCGGTAACATGTGTTGGGCATCATTGTTCAATTTGCCGATCGTTGAAAGGTGATTATAGAGATTTGTCAAACAGATACTTGCTGTACTGCCACTGCCAATCTGAACACGGATCGAGTCGATACTACGATAGTTTGGATATGCGTTTCTTCGATTTGTTCGATAGGATGGGACGTAGCGAGGATATTTTTGAACGATCATGCAATTAGGACTCTCTGACGTTTCTTAATGTATGCTAAAACGCAATGATAAGAAAGAACGCTTCTGTATGTATTCGTGCTAGGGAATGTAGTAGTCCGTCAGTGTGTATCTCATTGCAAGAACAAGGTCTCGTGAAAAAGGTATGATTGTGTCATTTGTACACTTATGAACGTCAATCTCGCGCTCATGTGACCAACCTCTCGTCCAATGGAAAAGACGTATATTATGTTAACTTCACATTAAAAGTTATAGAGTGATGATATCAGGCGTTCGCGAACAGGAGAGCGTATCCTCGCACCCGTCAAACACACACACACAGGCAAGTCAATTGTTCACTAGAAAAATCACGTGAACATATGGTACAAGTAAAAAAAGGGAATTGCTATCGGACATCATTTTTGTCACCGATGCGTCAATTTTGGAAATGTCGTCTACATGCCTACACAAAACCTTTTTAGAAGGTTTACTGATGCGTTGAATGTTGTGGCCGTGATCTGAGCCTCTGAGCAAAAGTGGTATGCCTCTCTTTAAAATATTGGGAGAAAGAGCATGCTCGACATTCAGGTCCAGACAATGCTATTGTATGTACTTACCGTTATATATGTGGAATATTGCGGATAGCCTCATAAAACGAGAAAACAGTAAACACGCAGAGGCAACACAAAGTTGACTATTGAAAATGCGTCTTTCTTGTCACATTTAACACTCTTATGGACAGGTTTTTCTCGCTTTAATTTAAGATCCATAACATTCATGAAGATCAAACGTTCAATACAACATTTCTATTGTTACTTGAATTATGGCGGTTAACATAGCAAGGAGTGAGTTAGTTTGATCTGACAAGTGTATGAATACCTCTACGAAATGTAGGAGGAAAGCTCTATGTTATGTAGTTTAGACATTCAAAGATAGGTTGGGCGAGTAACATATTCGTTAAAGAAGTTAATGTTATCAATCATTTAGTAGCTTTTCGATTAAAAGCATGGTTTACTTATGGGTGGCCATGAAGGACAATCCTAACTCGTTTATTGTCAAGTATACCTTTCTGCCACTGTTTGCAACTTGTGTTGATAAATACAAAATATTTGTTGTTGCAAAACATTAATTTGGAGCAAAGTTGATATTTGTACATAGAAATGATTTTGTCACTTGTCCAAACAACATTAAAGGTAAAGAAGATAATGACTTAGAAACGTTCTTAATTAACTCGTAATACAGGTATATGAGTTCGATACATGCCTTTACTTTACTTTATCGACTGAAATCTTCATAAACGTATGGCAATGAATAAAATATCACAACTTAATTCTGATTATTATTGGACTTGGAGGGATTGCAAAGTGTACAAACACCAGAAACCCACCGCTATAATTATAAACATTGATTGAATTTGAAAACCTTTTTGATCTATTCCTGACTAATAACTATACTTTGATCATTTAGATTTAGACAAATAACGTCAGTTCAATACATATCTTTACTTTACTTTATCGACTGAAATCTTCATTTTCATTACCGGCAGCATCCATCACAAACACATGCAAATATATAAACGTTAATGCATGAAAATATTTAGAAAACGGTAACACATTGTAGGGTCAAAATAGAAAATAGCTTCGAACATTATGTAATCGATGTATATTTTTGATATTTAGACATAAAAGAAACAAAGAGAATTTAGAATCAATGCTCATTATGTATTTTAGAAGATGGAGGTATTGTTGCAATGTTCTTTTTGTTCGGGTCCTTTTTTGCCTTTGTATCTATAGAGCACTTACAGACCGTGACGTGTCAAGAAGATAGTACCTGGCCATAGCGAATCCGATATGTCTGAAGAGGTATAATTGATTAAATATCATGCCAAAGAACACATGTAAGACATGGTAGATCGATATAAGCATGAGAATGTACCGGTTGCGTAATACCTTTCTATACAAAGAGTAACTCTGTCAACTTGAGAGTTTAAATGTACTTCTTGATGTCTTGTGTACATATGTCTCTTTGTTACTTGCTTATTTCAAATACTGTGAATATTTGATCACACATCTCAAACTGCCAAACGTGTTCAGCTTTCGTTAAGATTAAATATTCATCAATGACCTGAAGAAGACGTTACAAGGAACAACCACCTGAAAGCCGAAAGATTATTTTAGATTTCTCCTTTCAAAGCAAAGGATATACGACAAAATGAGGGCAATTGAAGCCGCATGTGCAGTTTTACTCTGCTCGTGTGTGGACAGTGTCAGTGCGAACTTTTGGGCGTGGAAAGTTGAGATGATAGACGGGTTTGAAAACAAGCGAGTGACTGACCATATCATGTGGACGGAACCGAACACGGAGAGCCTGCTTGAGTGTGCTGTCAGATGTAGCCAACACGACCTAGCTGTGACGTGCGGCTACAACCCAAACACGTTGGAATGTGTTGCCTACAGTGCAAGGTTCACAGATCAGTCAACCGTGGCCTATGTGGACAACAGTAAATACAGAATGTACTCTCTAAATCCAGGTATCTGTGACATTTTTGTCAATTGAATATAAGTTAAAGTTCATATCTTCTTTGATAGGCATTTAGAAGTTGGAGTACTAAGTAAGGATAAGAATTTATGTATGAACAACCTCTTTATTACAATTAAGAGCGACGTTTCGGTGTTGGTTCTAACACCCTTATCAAGCAAGTGATATACAGAGTATGGCTGACAAGTATATATACTGGTAGGAGGTAATGTTTATACAGTAGAGGATAACTACATCTGATATCTACTCTACTGTGTAAACAAGAAGTTGTTCATCCATAAATTCTTATCCTTACTTAAAGTTTATATGACTGTGACTGTTTATGTGACTGTGTCTGACTTTCATTATGCTCAACTGTGAAACAGCACAAAACGCACTTCCAAAACCACTTTACTTGTTATAATTGTGCACACCTCACGACCCAAATGTCCTTTTCAAATCTTCACAATGTCCTAACGTCATTTAATTCCTATTACATTGACAGTACCATCTGTACCGCCTTTGGGTATTTGCAACACATCTAATGATTGCCTAGTAGCCGACACGGAGTGCATTGAAGAGGAGTGTGTGTGCATTATATCGCAGGTATTTTCTTACGCTGCTGGAGGATGTGTCCAAGGTGTGTACTTCCTTATCTCCGAATTTGATTCACCCTCGGTTAAACAACACTCGTATACTATTTTTATGAGAATCAGGAATTGTTCTTATACTATTGCAGAAGCAACAAATACACAAGATACACATACATACACATGCAGGAAAGAAGCATAAACCCGTTCCATATTAGATGATGACGATTATTTCTGTGACCATTTACAAATTGGTGGGGCTCACGGCAGCACAAAAACATGTTCAAATAACTTCGAAATGTACCCTCTTTGTATTATAGGTTATAATTGGCCACGAGAATCCCAATTCTTGCAACAAACCACAATTTGTACCCTCGTTTATTGTGTATTATCGTACCTGCGAGCGTGCATTGTTGATCATGCCATCAACAATAGTTTACCTGGCTCTGGTCTGTTTCTAAGAGGGCCTTTAAATAAAAGCAAAATAACCTTTTCAATAACCATTAACACATTCATTCATTCATTCAATTACTATTGTTACAATTACATATCATATTGACTGAAGTGTTCGCAGCTTAAAAATTAATTTGGGCCGTTTACGTTTAATATTGGTCCGTTTACGGGTTTATATTGGATGTTATTAACGTTTAGTCATCAGTGTCCTGCCCTTTATCATTCAATAGGGTAGGTGTCGTTCAGTCGACATTTGTAGTGGGCCAAACATAGGCCCATGTTACATCTGGGAATATATTCTACATATGCCAACTAGCCAATTTGTTATACTTGTTACATCTCCCTCCCGGAGGAACCAATATGGAAACAACAATAATAATAAACCTTACTTCCAGGCGTCCATCAAGGAATGACCTTGGGGACACACTTTCATGTACTTTCATTATTGTTTCTTATTTACAGGATGTTCCCAATACAGCAACACGTTCACCAAGTTTGCAGGTCGTGTGATTTATAAGCATGACGATTTGTTCCTGACCACTGCTACAGAGGATGAATGCCGAGCCGCTTGCGTCACCGAGACAAGCATAGTGTGCAAAACACTGGAGTACAGTTCAGTGTCATCTGCGTGTGTTCTGAGTTCTTTTGGATGGATGGATGTCAACGTTTTGTATAGGGGAACTAACAATAATTATGACATACATCTCCGGCATTGTGATTTTTAAACAGATGACGAATTGATTGCTGGATGTTAGTATCTATTTTTAAAACATGAATATAAAAGACATCTTTATGTATTTCTGTAGAGCGTATATATTTCGAGCTTAGAAACAGCTTGGCCAAACATGTTTAGACTTTGCCTCATTATTCTGAGTTGAAAAGCTAATGATTGTTCGAAATAGGAAATATTTTCACAACTCAGCAGATTACCAATGCCATGAGAGGTATGATCGAGCATGTATCTGGCTGAGGAAGTGTGTACAGACTTTGTACAGTCATGAAGTTTATTTCACTTGAAAGCCAAGACCTTACATGTATGTCCGGGCCTGTTTGTCTGTTGTAAACATCTCTGAAAGTGCTGTACCATGCTTGTTACCAAGGATATACACCGGTGGTGTTTGATCTGATTTTCATTAAAGCCCCACACCAGCACTATACAAATATTTGTAGCCATCACAATGTATTGAGCCTTAATTGTTCATAGTTTTATGCAATTATGTATGTTTAGTTATTAATCGGACTCAACATAGGTCTTGAAGACATGTCTTTTGATAACATCAAGTGAGCTTACGTCATGCCCAGTTTGTCCGTCAAAACATCTTCTCAGAAATCATTTAACAAGCTAAAACTTCACATTGACATCGAATGACATTGAATGATGACATCGCAGTTTGTTCACTTCATTTAGGATTACAAACCCAGCAATGTTTACCTCCCTAAATTGGTACATGCATTGTTTGAAGTGGGGCTTCTTTTAAATTTTGACTGTGATTTGACCTTTGCATTTTAACTTTGCTCCTGAATTCTCACAGAATGAGTTCCTAGCGATTTCTGTTCAGAAATCACTTGAGCAAGAAAGTTGAAACCTTACATGATTGTTTCTACCAACGATAACTCCTCAACGTGTTCAAGAGGTTCAAACAGTAGCCATATTGACACATCTATTTATGGCCATTACTAGCAAGGGGGCTAAGAATTCAGTTTGAGGCATATCTAGATCTGTAGGCCACTGCTTCAAGCAATTTTTTCTGTGAAAATCAACACGTTTTGTGATTATAAAATATTGGCTTTACATATAGGTGAGCTACTGTAACGGAGCACGATTTCAGGGAGTTTTTATCGGATGTGCAGCTGATCTCAAATAAGTTAAATGAACATGCACGTTGTTAGGATTGCGTTTTCTGTTCTTTACATCGATTATATTGTCACCACGATGTGTTACTGTTTTATTTAATAAATAGTTCTGAGCTAGAATGACTCTAAAGTTCAGTATTCTAATGTTAATCTGTTAAATCTGGATAAACCTATTGGTTAAAGTGATGCCTCGGCGATTCACTCACTGACTCACGTACTTATAATTACTGACCCACATCCATGATTGTGTCCTTGACTCGAGACGATCTCTTTTTGATCACATGCATGGACTGTCTTGATTTACATCTCCTAAAAAGCAACTTGGAAATCGCCGAAATCAGCTTTTCTACATATGTAAGGTTAACATGGACGTGGCTATTTGTCTAGACGCACAGTGTAGTAGCCATTCATGTCATCAAAGGGGGCACGGGTGGCTCAGTCGTCGCCGCTATTCGCTGTGCAGAGTTGCGGCCCTTGGGCACGCCAGAAACCTATGATTTTGGGTTCGAATCCCGGTTCACCCCATTTATGTTTCTAGATTTGTCAGCACCATACCCGTGCTCGTGGGTTTCACCGAAGTGGTAAACGTCTGAGACCTGCATCACTTCGGGCTTTCCTCCCACATTAAGCTGACACGCCGTGATATAACTGGAATACTGTTTAAAGCAGCGTTAAACCAAACCCAACCCAACTCACTCACTCACTCACTCACTCACTCACTCATGTCATCAAAAGGAGCAAAGTCTTGTTCCCAGACCTTTGGGTACATGTTGTTACCCTGTCTGGCGCTCGGCATTAAGACACAGAACAAGGACTGGTCTGCTCGGAGTCAGTAAACTGTGTCTGAGTGGGGTATTTATGTTAAACTGTGGCATGGTATTTCGGTAAGCTTGCACTATAAATCGGCATCAGTCCGGACTGGTACATGCAGCCACACACACACGCAGGCAGGCAGGCAGGCGCGCGCACGCACGCACACTCACACACACACACACACACACACACACAGGTGCATGCACGTCGCTATAAATGTGCACTAATCTTGGACGAAACGTTAAACCCAATTTCATCCCACATCACTCACACACATATGCTTGTGTGATAGTTGTATAGTTATAGAATAACCCTCGAGGTACGAGTGATTACGGAAAATATGTCACGAGTGAAATTAAGGTTTTAAGTTCCCAGCTTTACCGAGGAACTTAAAACATTAATTTCACGAGTGACATATTTTCCGTAATCACTCGTACCGAGTGGGTTATTCTATTTATAACCCATATTCATATTAAAGACATGTTTCAAGAAAAAAACAATCAACATTACTGTCGCCGATCAAGAAACAGCTGTTTTGTATCAATCCGCGTGTGAAAAAACACTGTTCACTCATTCCAACCGCATTACTCAATTAACGTGTTGTTACGCGTGAAAAATATACTTCTGTTAAAAAATTGTAAAGATCACATTATTGCAGTTATATTTCTGTCCGATTTACACAGCGTAAACTATCTAGCATTGATAAAGAAGACAGGTTTCCAAAAAAGGATCATCAGGTTTTTTATTCAAAGCTTGTTTTGACAAGATCTCGTCACTGACAGACATCCCCCGTCGTGCATCGGCAGATACATGCATTTCACATTGAGAAGAGGAAACACTGAAAACCTGTCAATTTTTTAATGTGTCATTTGACAAAAATGCCAAAACCTTTAACAACAACATAGACGGAATGTACAGAAGTCTTGTTTGTTAGAGAAAAGTTACGAAAAGAAGGTAAACTTTGAAAAGTACGATTGTGGCCACAGTGTCGGAATGAATGACCCGACTTGACCCAGATATGAGACAGCCGAAACCAGGAATGACAAGAGAACCGGCGTTACAGTTTAATCCGGACAAGGATAGTTCAATATCGGACACAGGATCAGCTCGCTGGGGTAAGTTTTCTTTTCCTTGTATTTTTAATTATTTTTGTTTTGATTTCAAAACCTCTCCGAGTTTAGCAAAGTGCATCGATTTCGCAATCAGATGCTGGTAATCATGTCGCTAAGTCAACTCTCTATGCCACCCTTGATCTCCTTCAAAGTAGACAGTTCGAATTCTGAACTGTCTGATGTGCATGCAGAAATGATAAATTTGCAAATAATAATGTTTAGTTGCACCTTTCCTGTGTCTATCTAATCTGTTTATTCAGTACATGAGTGGGCCAGCGGCCCATAGTACAATTCGGTTCACCAGATATGTATAAAAATACAACTGTGTACACCTAAATACACAACAGCAAGGCATTCATAGATAAAGAATATTACTTCTGCAAAAATGAATTCCTTAACTTAAAAGCGTGGTAAATATAACAAGCCAGACTTCTAATTGTTGACTGATGCAGAGACGACATAAGTATGTAAAATTGTTCTATTGATGGATTTACATAATATTTTTGAGGAATATATGTCACTCGGAGAGCATAATATTTTTCACAAACCAATACAAAATGGTATTCAGACTCAACATAGCCTGTTTTATAAACCATACATAACCTTCGCTGTCTTGGGATACCAAACTATCTCCCGGTTTCTATGTGGAGCGAGTGGGAGCTAGCTCTAAAACGTGCCAGTGCAACGCGAAACTTATTGATTGTAATAGCCGATAAATAAAATTCCCTGCTAAACCTAAATTTATAACAAAGATATGATGAATACTTGGGGCTATTGGTCAAAGCAAAATGCCAATCTTGTTCATAAGAGCATTTTAATCTTTGTATGAACTCATCAATAAATGAAATAGAAATAACAAGATGCTGATTTTCCCATACGTAGCCAAGCCATAGGCGTACAAAAGTAATTTAACTCTAGAGGCCCAATTAGTCTTACCTGCTATGGCCTGCTGCACAAGCATATTGTAACTTTTTCGTGGATAACGCGAATCGGGCATCTTTAAAATCTTACACCAATAATTCAAGCATCTTTCGAAAGCATAGATATACAAAGGGTATCTCCCACACTCTCCACGCACAACATGATTGGAAGTTGCTGACTTAACTCCTAAAATACGTTTACAAGCAAGTGTATGAACAACTTCAATCTCCTCGCAAAACGATAAAGATAAACCCCAAACTTCTGCACCGTAAAGAAGTACTGGCACAACTTTAGCATCAAAAATGTTAAAGGAAATATTCATAGGAGTAGGTTTAATTAGCTATAGGGACTTCAACAAAAAGCTTAAACAAAACCTTTTTAGCTTGATTAACAAAAAGCTTAAACAAAACCTTTTTAGCTTGATTAACAACATTAGATATATGTGCACTCCAAGATAGATTTCGAAAAAATAATACACCAAGGTATTTATATGTAGTTACACATTCCAACAATTTTCCATCGTAAACCCATTTTTCATATTTTGAAAGAACACTCCCATTTTTAAAAACTACTACTTTAGTTTTATCAATATTGACTGTTAATGAATAATCTTTACAATAACATTCTAACACATTGATTCTTTTCTGGAGACCATAAACAGTATCTGCTATGAGAATGACACCATCTGCGAAAAGTAATAAAAACAATTGAACTACATCTGGATGAAATTGGATACCATGTGCGCAACTGGATTCAATATCTATGGCAAGATCATTTATGAACAAGGCAAACAAAATGGGACTAAGGACACATCCTTGACGAACTCCCTTACTGCAGCTAAACATATCAGAAAATGAGTTATTGTATTTGACCAATGCCAAAACTTGTTTATAAATTGACTGTATACAACAGAACATTTTCGGAGAAATACCATTTTTGTATAGTACCATACGCAATTTGGATCTATCTGTGGAATCAAAGGCTTTGGCAAAATCAACAAACAAGGCATAAATCACACCTCGTTTCTTAGCCAAATATTTCTCTATTACTGAATATAAAACAAAAATATTATCAGTTGTGGAATATCCACTCCTAAAACCAGCCTGAGACTCTACTAGTCTATCATAGGATTCCGACCAAAACTGAAGTCTTCTGTTTAAAATAGAAATATAAAGTTTACTGAATACACTTAAGATAGTGATACCCCTATAATTAGTGGGAGAATTGGCATCGCCTTTCTTATATATAGGAACAATGTGGCCAACAGCCCAAGATGAGGGAAAATATGCAGAATCAAATATAGCATTAAAGAAGAATGTCAAAAAAGGAACCAGAACATCAGGAGAAGACTTAAACATTTCTGCTATCAGTCCATCATCTCCCGCAGCTTTATTATTTTTCAATCCTGTAATCGCATCAAGCACTTCATCCTGTGAAATAGGGGAATCAAGAATACTCTGAGTTGTTTCGTCAAAATTAACATCGTCAAAAACTAAATTCTCCTCAACCTCTGAAGAAGAGTATTCACCAAATAAGTTCTTAAAGTGCTGATACCAATCTCCTAGTTCTATATTAGGAGAGCGTCTCCTTCCCTCACCAGAGAGTAGCTTCAATTGTGACCAAAATATTTTGCTGTTGTGTATGCCTGTCACCATATTACTAAGAATTTTATCTTGGTAGGCTTTTCTTTTGTTATGGAGTATATTTGTATATTTATTTCTTGCATGTAGATAGTTTGAAAGTGCCAAATGATCCCCAAGTAGTCTATAAACTTTAAGCAGTCTTTGCTTTTCAAATCTAAGAAATTCACACTCTTTATCAAACCAAGGTTGCTTATCGACTAACCAAGCAGATGGGCAAAACTTACGCATACATTCTGCTGCATTACCTAATAAATCTGAGAATAAAGTTACAGCATCATCAAATTTTCCAGATAAAATATGTTCATTACACTGATCAAACACTGAAGCTGACTTGTCAGAAAGTAATACATCTCTAAATGTTGACACTTTATCTTCATTCCACACATAACGGGAGTTGTCACGCACATCTCGTGCATTACTTAAGCTAGCACCCACAGAAGCCATATCACGTGACACAAATGAACACGCAACAGGCAGATGATCTGAATCTGACCTAGATAGGACATCGAAGCGGTCACATGATGTAAACAAGTCAGGGCCTGTTATGATATAATCAACAACACTCTGTCCAATATGACTTATAAATGTAAAGTCTCCTTTCCCAGCGTCCGAACCACATCG